ATTTTAAAATTGCCTCCACGCCACGGCACTTTGGACAGGAAATAGTACAGCAAGCGGCGTGCATTTTCTTGTTGGTTTTGGAATCCATATACGTAAACAAAGTTTGAAATTTTAGAAAAAAATCTAAACAAAAATCACAATTTAAAGACGAAATTCGCGACAAAAGTAAAATCAGCTTCTCCACGGCTGCTACCTATTCAATATGCTTTGCGCCACACAGAATATTCAATGTGAAATACGTTGAAAAAAAACCTTTGAAAAGCCAAATATTAGTGAAATTTCTTTTAAAAATTTTAACAACAATCATTAACGTCTAATTTCTATTCATACCCAGTTTTTCGACGCAAAATTATAACTTCAGAAACCATCAACATATGTATGTGCTCCTCGATTCGAATCACAAGCGTCCTGGTATAAAAATAAAAACTGGTTCATAGGCATGTCATTTTTATGAGCTGTTAAGGCGCCAAAATACCGAATACGGGACAAATAAGGAACATTAAAAGAAATACAGAACATTTGGCGCCCCGTATGAAATAAATAAATTACAAGGACAACAAAACTTACCAGGACTTACTGAACCGTATAATACAGGACGGATGGTCACCGTATATGTAAAGTGATATAAATACATATTATGATTGTAGCAATGCGACCATATATGTATGTACATATCATTTATACTATTTTTTGTTGGATGCTATCACATACTTAATTATACCTAATTTGATAAGCATGTGTTCATACAAATATACCTACTTATGTACATATGTATTATCGAAAAAATATTTTTTTATAGATGTACGATAGGTGTTATTTAGCCCACTTATTTGAATTAATGTTTTACAAAGAGTTACTTTCTTAAGTAGCAGTTAGATGTGCAGGTGCAAGTCCTTTTTAAAGTCTGTCACACTTAAGAGATTGCAGGAGTTACACCTTGCATTTAAAGTGGCTTTCGAAAGCAGTTTTTATTTCGGAAAATCAAACTTTCCGATACTAATTTTTGTCTGTTTACACGGTGAATGCAGACAATTGCACTTTCAATTATGTTATAAGACATTTTTATGCTTATAACAAAATTACTGTTCTGAAAAATTGGTTAAAAATGCTAAATACCCATAAAACAGCCGCAAAATGTCCAATGCTTTAATATTTAAGTAGTTCATGCCAGGAGAACAAATGAATTACAAGTACTGTTTTATATGTGACGGAACATTTACAAAATGTCATACATATTCGCCGAAAATCGCCGCACACGGCAACACTCGGTAATGGTAGATAATTTCAGTTACAGTTACACCTTGCCCGACATATAAAAAAATCCCAAAATTTTCATCTTTACACATTCATGTTTCTGGCATGCGGGGGACGATATGTACTTGCCAATTTGTTTTACAAAAATTATTTAAAAAGCAGACGTCTCGGTTGCTCAGCAAACCGGTTAATTGTTTCTGCAATTATTTCACATTGATTCTCTAAAACAAATTTTCGATGTATTCTTAAAATGCGTAAACCTAAAGGTAAATTTTATAGGAAATTAACTAACAATTTATTAAAACTAGTAGTAACCTCGAAATACGGGTGAGTACTTAGCTCAAAATTTATTTAAAGAACTCCGTGAAAGACAACAATTAATCTTGTATTGCAGACACCTGATAACCCAGGATAATTTTTAAGTTCTTAAAAGATATTACTCTACTTTAAGCTTCGTGCAGTGGGCCATGAGAAAACCATCATCTTTAAGGTATAGTCCAACCTTTCACAATATCTGGTATTAGTCTTAATCTGAAACGCAATAATCATTGAAAATTGGCGCTATTTATGGTGAAAAGCATTTAATATCACACTTTCAAACTAAAGCTTTCTTAACCCTAGAAGCCTATTCTATTAGGGAGTAACGTAAAGCCTTAATATACGCCGTAGAGGCTTATGTACTTAAAAGATAACCTGTGAGCTGAAATATACTTAGTCCTGTCTTATTTTTTTAAAGAATATTGAAGTTGTGAGTTTGACTAATAATAAAACATAGTTTTATTAATAAAACCTATAACCACATTAATTTAAAACAACAAAACAAAAAGTAAATTTTGTGTTAAAATTAAAAAAAAAAACCCATTCCGTATACGCCTCGCAGACGTAGATTATACTTTTAGGGTTAACCCTTCAGTACAAAAATTTAACCACGGTTCTGAAAAATTCTTTCTGGCAAAATTTTTTTTAGTTTCACTTTTATTTCAACATATTTTGACTAAAAGAAAAATACTGATAAAAATAAAATTTTTCATATAAACAGGGTTGAAATCTTGAAATTCCTGCCCGTAGTTTGTTTGTAAGTCAAATATGAGTGGCATTGTGCTACTATGATAGCACGGCCGAGTAATCATAGCCAACTTATGTACAGTAGTCGAAAAAATTATATCCGCACCAAATTTTGACAAGTTTTAAAATATTATTTTTGTTGTTATTTAATTTCGGTTAGTTTTTTATAGTTCGTTCTTTACCAACATCCGTATAAATACAAGTTTAAAGGCAGTGTCACACAATTAGGTATTTGCTAAAATTTGGTGTAAATCGTATCCCAATTGTTTGAACACCCAAAATATTTTTCACTATCCCAATCACGAAAATTAATTTATTGAAATTTTTCAATAGAACATCGCTGTATTGTTTCAATCTTTTGAATGCAAAATAAAATGTCCCACTTTTTTTTACCAATAGCCCAATATAAAAATTTACAAATCTGTACACACGTACCAATCTAGTGACACTGCCTTAAAAATTTATGCAATTAAAAAAAAAAATTCTACAAATTTTCGTTAAAATTTCGAGTTTTTTAATCAAATTCTGAGTATGCAGTTTTGTAGCCCATTGAATTCTAGTAGAATAAAGTACACGTTTCAAATGGCTAAAAATTTCGATTGATTTTTTAGAATTTTTAAAAGTTCGAAATTTGTACGAAAGTTTGTTGAATTTTTTTTAATATTGCACAAATGAGTAGTCCACTTGCAAACAGCGTTATGTGATTTTATAATAGTGATCCATAAATAAAAAAAAAACGTCTACAACAACAAGTAACATCCAAATTGTATATTTCTCTTTATTATCTGAAAATTTGGATAAACAAGAGCCTAATAACATTAAAAAACAATATGACAATTTGGTAGTTTTTGCAAATTTTATATATAACAAGTAAGAAAGTCTAAGTTCGGGCGGAGCCGAACATTAAATACCCGGCGCAAGTATTAAATATATGTTTTTTCACCCTTCCGAAACCTTCCGCTAGATGGTAAGCCGGGGTGTATCAATTTTGAGTAAATTAGCGTCCTTCAATTTCGAAATATTGAAGTTTCAAGCATTTCTTAAATTTACCGTTATATGAGAATTGGCCGTTATTTTAGTCCGATTTCAATAATTTTCAACGTTTTGCTTACACGTGGCAAGTACAATAACCATACCGAGTTTGGTACAAATTGGTAGAACGGTTACCGATATACTTATATGTGATCATAAGTGGGCGGTGCCATGCCCATTTTCCAAAATTTTACCATAAACGTATTTCTTGGTAAAGAATTGTTGCAAGCATCAATTTTGAATAAATTAGCTTCAATATTTAATGATATATCGAAGATTTTGTATTTCTCTAAATTACCGTTATATGGGATGTGGGTGTGGTTATTGTCCGATTTTAAAAAGTTTCGGCCATTTGGTATGTTATGCGAAGGCCAACAACTGTGCCAAGTTTGGAAGAAATTGGTGCAGCGGTTACCAAGATATACACATGTAACCATAAGTGGGCGTGGCTACGCCCATTTTCCAAAAATTTATAATATTCTTATTTTTCGTCTAAAAATTATTGTAAATATCAATTTTGAGTGAATTATCTTCAGTAGTTACTAAAATGTCGCAGTTTTCGTATTTCTGGAAATTACCGTTATATGGGAAGTGGGCGTGGTTAAAGTCTGATTTCGCCCATTTTCAATACCAACCTACCTTGGATTAAGGGAAACCTACATACCAAATTTCGTTGAGATATCTCAATTTTTGCTCGAGTTATCGTGTACACGGACGGACGGACAGACGGACAGACGGACGGACAGACAGACATGGCTTAATCGATTTCTTTTTTCATCCTGATCATTTATGTATACATTTGTCTATATCTATCTCGATTCGTTTTGGCTGTTACAAACAACCGTTATGTGAACAAAATTAATATACCCTTGTGCACAAGTGCGCGAGTTTTGAACAGTAACTTTTACATAGCTATCTTTTTTTTTGCTTTTCGCGTTCACTCTTCCATGAAGATTGGTCTGCTTCTTTTTTACGACGCCTTCCACTAGGCGCCGAAACTACCACGTTTTCTTGCAGTTTTCTAAGTTCATCAGAAGATGGAGACTTTTGAAAGTGTATAAATAAGTATTATAGCGACTTTTGCAATAGTAGTTAACATTTGATGCTATTTTTTCAGAAAATAGAAAGGTTTTGCACTGTATTGTTAGTGGACATGAAACTACTTTAAATACTGGTACGTTACTCACCAAAAACTAAAAATCTAAATAAATTTACATAGCGCCTTTGCAAGTGGACTGCTCAAATTTGGAAACATGAATTTCCACGGGTTTTGTTAAAGAACTACCTATATTTTTATTTAAAAATATAACAAAAGTTCAATAACAACAAATATAATACGTTAAAACTTGGCAAAGAGTGGTTCGTTTATAATTTTTTGACCACTGTATGTATTTTTTTGTATCTTTAATTGGACCTTCACATAGTACATAAAGGAAGTACATAACAAAATTAAAAAAATATATGCCTTTTTTGCCTTTTTTTGAAGCTCGTTTTGCCCTTTTCAAGTTTAAGTGCCTTAAAAACCTACATCTCTATATTTCGCGGGGGGGGGGGGGGGAAGGTTGCGGTCAGAACCCCCACATCCTCCCCTCCCCCCCTCCCTAAATACGGCCTTGCACAGTAAAATGTAATATTGGAAACTGTATTACCTGTCTGAACTTTTTTCCCAGGACTATTCCTTTATTTCACCGAGCGATGTAGTATAAAACAAATCAATAATCACAATATTGAATAAAATCAGCATTTTAGCAACCACCCTGAGCGTTATGAATTCACTACTTCAATATTTGCACGCATATCTAAACTTCGAACCGCTTTTATTTATTTACAATTCACGCAAATTCAGCAATAACTGCTCGCAACTGACGCCTTCGATTTTGTTTTTCACTTTTCTTCTGTTTTTTGTTATGGTAATCGCCAGTCTGACAACTAAATAAAAAATCTCAGCATGCTCATTGAGAATGACGAAGTGGCGAAATACAGGTGAATCACTTTAGCCGCACAAGAGTATTGGAATACGGTATGCTTGTTATTATGAACCGGCTACTCAATATATTCAATGGATTTATTTTAATATAAATTCTTATATTAATTATATATATTGAACAATTAATTATTTTTTAATTTATTTAAAATTACACTGAGACAGAGCACTAAAACTCGTCATGACTAACCGGTAGAACTCTCGGAAGTGTACTGAAATGTTTCCCAGCAAAAGTTCTAACCAACGCAGGCAATCTGATGCCATATAGAAAACTACTTTATATACATGCCGAGGCGTTAATATTTATATATATATATGTATATGTATATATGTAAATAATTATATATATATATAATATGTATGTAAACAATTACATATACATATATACTATATACATAGCTAAAATATACAGAAATAAGCTGTAGTAATTGATGGAGAGACAAAGTCAAGGCCGGTAAGAGAGAACTACTTAGTAGTAAATGAGACTGGTTCCACATGTTTCACTTTACAAATATGTGTGTTCATATAACTGTATACATATTAGATAATCAGCTGCTAACTGAGAATTCCACTCACATTGACCCTGTTAGCGGTAATAAAGCTTTTGATGGCTTTAAGAGATGCGTTACTGCAACGCTTTTGGCGCTCTTAGTACAAAGTCATGAACGACGGAATATGTATTTCGAAATAATTTCATATAAAAGTGTGTTTGTTTATATTTATTTATAGTATGTACTAGTGTTGGGCACTTTAGTTCTTTTGAGTGTACCGTTCAGTTGTAGTTCGTTCACCTTAGTAAGCTAGTTCTTTAGTTAATATAGTTCAATTGACGAATACATTTAAATATCGACACCTGAGTGGAATATCGACCTTTCTCGGCAGACAGTTCGAAAACGCCCTATCTCAGAAAACTTTTCAAGAACGCCCCATTTCAGAATTTTATTGAAAAACCCCCTACCTCAGAATTTGGCTGATGAATGCCCTATCTCAGAATTCGGTTCAAAACCGCCCTATCTCAGCTGAAAATACATTGAAAATATGCTGAGAAAGGGCGTTTTTGAATGGGCAGCTCAGATAGGGCGTTCTTCAACCAAATTCTGAGATAGGGTGTTTTTCAATATAATTCTCAATCAAATTCTGAAGTAGGGCGTTCTTGAAAAGTTTTCTACCGAGAAAGGTCGACCTTCCACTCAGGTGTCGAATTAAACGAGTTCCTACATAAAACAAGAACGTTAACAATACATATAAACACTTACATATTGCTGTGGAAAACCATTACATTAGAAAGCTTATTTGATTTTAAAAGCGTTCTACGCCAGTTTAATATCTGTCCTGCCCAAGACAAAATCGTTTTTATTTTGTAACACCCATAAGGCCTACATTACAATCCAAATCTTCTACGCGTTTTTACTCGAATTCAAGTTTTTCGTCATCGGGGTTATTGCTTATGACCACAGAAATATCGCCCATTTCTAAGTTTTCTTGATAAATTATTTGTAAAGAAATTGTATCAAAATTTTTATCTAGTGAAAGCTCCCATCGCATTCTGTGTCAATATTTATAAAATAAAAAGCTCTACAATTTCGAAATGAATGGAACTGATTTCATTGTGATATTAAAACATAAATTTAAAAGAAAAAGAGCTTTTAACTGCCATAGCCGAGTAGGTAAAGATTATGTATATTTCACCAACGAGGTTATATTATATAAATCGATATACTGAAAGTGTGCAGACATGCCGCAACTTTTTTTTACAGAATGACACTATAAGGTCCAAGGTATATGTAAATGATTACACTTTTGCTTGATCGCACCTACTTCTCAACTATATGTCTACGTATATAGCCAAAAACCTCTTATTTTTAGACTTACGATAAAAAATAAAATAAAATACTTAGAACCATAGTAAAAGAAGACTAAAATCAATTTGTATTGCCTAAATACCTGAACAAGAAGGCTCCGTTGCCGTTTTTGATATATCTTTAAAGAACGCTCAGATATAGCTTGGAAATTTGAAATATTAAGTCACGTTTTTCACTTCGCGCGCACTCAAAGGAAAAAGTGGCGCCTTTAAGAGTATATTGCAAGAAAACGGTAAATTTTTGGGCAAATATTTGATTGCATACTGATGTAGAATTTTATCTACTGTCTCTTAGTACTAAACCCTTCTTTGTATTTTGAAATTCATTTTTTGAATAAATACGCAATATCGACATCAATTACTCCACTGTGCGCTGTACGCGAACATATAAATAATGCGTTTATTGGAAATTTTGTCCTCTACAACCTTGCCATTTAAATGTGCTACTTAATTCAAATATAAACCGCTCAAAATTCGAAAAAACCGCGCCGCTTACCTAATTTTGGGCATTTTTTGCATATTATTAGCAATAAATAGTTGTTTAAAAAATTATAGGCACATGAGTATTGTAGGGAATCGAATTCTCTACAAATTTGTTCTCTACCTTTTTCCGAGAGAAATGCAAAATTCGCGCGCAAATCGTAAAAAACACAAAATCCAAGATGGCGGACATTTCCCATATCGCAATTAGGGGAAAAATTTTCATTTTGTGTTCACCTAAACAGGAAACACCTAACTGCGTCAAAAAATTTCTTCCTGGAATTTTTTTTCTTCTTACGTCGATTTTATTCTAAAGTGGTCGGGCTATGACCGATCTTAACCAAATTTGGCATACGCATTGCGCTTAGCCTCCTTAAGTACTATCTTGAATATTTTTTAAATCGGAAAACACCTACTCCACCTGAGATATAGCCCGTGGTTTTTGTCCGATTTCAAAAATTGTCAATATGGCGCTTAAGGAGGCTAAGTATTAGGGTGGTCCAAAAACAGTAAAGTCGGAATTGTAATGCTTTCATCCCCTAGGATTGTTCTATATCGAAAAAAAGTATACCCCTCTTTTTTTTTTTTTAAATCAAAATATATTTAGAGGTCGCTCAAAGCGCTCAAAGTTTTCCACGTACTTTTATATGGGCAAAATAAATTATTTCGTATAGAATTCTTGAAAGTCAATATTTTTCGATCGGGAAGCTCTGGTTCTCTTCAGGAGACTTTCAATAATAACACCCAATTGTTTATTTAACCATTTTTTAATACAAACGATTTTTTATTGGTCGCCCCACTGCATTTTTCGGGGTTTTTGTGGGTTTTTGGCGAACCTATAAATTATAGTTGCAATAAAAAAATGGTTAAATAAATAATTGGCAAGTATTATTTGGAATCTCCTTCAGATAAACAGAGTTTTCTGGTAAAAATATTGATTTTTAACTATTCTATACCATTTCTACGAAAATTTGTTTTTTCCATATAAAATACATGGAAAGCTTTGGGTGCTTTGAGCGACCTATAAATATTTTTTGATTTCAAAATAAAAAAATAAGGGTATATTTTTTTCGTTATAGAACAATCCTGCATTTTTGGATCACCCTACTGAGCATACTGTGTATACCAAATTTGGTCGAGATCGGTCAAGTAATTTTTGAGATACGCATTTATTATATATGTAGGTGGGCGGTGTCAGCCCTAAAATTCCTAAAATTTCTTGAAAAACCACTTTACCATACACAATATAAATTCTAGGTCGTATTTAAGAAAAGTCGCCTAACTTCGACAATTTTTATGCTTTTGCAATAAATGAGCTATCAGTTTATTTAAAATTTATATTTTATTTTAGAAAGTACTACACATTTTGAAATTGAGAAAATTATCGATGGTTATAATTTAAAAAATTAAGAGAAATATTTTTTTGGTTTTTATTTTACCCGATAAAAAATCCCAACAAGCGAAGTCCGACAATAGATTATTATATACCATTTTAAAGGCCTATATATCCTCTTCTCAGATCATATTCGATCTTTGAAATCGAATTAAAAGTAGTCATTCAAAAACTCATAAATCTACAAAATCGTATTTTCTGACCTAAATCGACAGGTCGCCCTTTAAAAAATCTATAAAAATAGGCAATAAGTTTTTCTCATCAAACCGAATAAAATTAGGAGGTGGGGTCTTGAAATTTCTAATTTCTCTAATATACATATATATATGTATTCTTTATTTAAATACATATGTATACATATCGTCACCTTAATTGACACACGCCCTAACCAACACTTTTTTCAAAACTGCGTTTTTCACAGATCTTGGTAGGATGTATTAAAGTACAGTTTCAATAAAAATTTTTAAGTGTTAGTACCAAAAACAACAGAGTTACGTGCCACTTTCTAAATTTGATACTCTTTTTATAATGTGAAACAAAGAAATTGTTGGTAAGGGCCTTTTTGAATTAAGGTAACAACGATATGTAATTCATTTTTTGTGAAAACCGTATCTATGAATCCAAGTTTAAAACTTTGAGCAATATTTAATTTAATTTTTGCGGCCGCTGTGGTGTAGTGGTAGGCAGAGCGCGCTTCCACTCCGCAGCGCCTTGGTTCAAGCCCTGGTCAAAGCAACATCGCAAAAAAAAATTAGAAAAAAGGTTTTTTCTTAACAGCGGTCGGCTCTCGGCAGGCAATGGCAAACCTCCGAGTGTATTTGTGCCATGAAAAACAGCTTCTCATAAAAATACAATCGCCGTTCGGAGTCGGCGTAAAACTGTAGGTCCCTCCCTTTGTGTGACAACATCAAGGCGGACGCCACAAATCGGAGGAGAAGCTCGGCCAAACACTAACATATGTGTAAGCGCCAATCTATTATTATTATTAATATTTAAAACAAAATTCAAAAACTTTCGTAAAAATTTCAATAATGTTCAACACTGTTAGAAAAAAAAATGTTAAATTGGAGCGCCATCTTGCACCAATTTTTGTGTTGCGCTTTGCATGCCCTAGCATTTTTGGAAAACCGAATAAGAGAATTGCAAATATCAATAAAATTAATGACATTGTTGAAAAGGTAAACTATATATCGATTGCTGAGTGGAAGATCGACCTATCTCGGCAGCCAGTTCGAAAACGGCCTATCTCAGAAAATTATTCAACAGCGCTCTTGCTCAAAAAACTTTTCAAGAACGCCCCACTTTAGAATTTCATTGAAAAACGCCTTATCTCACAATATGGTTGAAGAACGCCCTATCTCAGCTTATTTTCAATGTATTTTCGTTTGAGATAGGGCGTTTTTGAACCGAATTCTGAGATAGGGTGTTTTCAATAAAATTCTAGGTCGATAGGTCGATCTTCCACTCAGCCACCGATATATATG